GCCGGCTGCAGCGCCTTTCGCAAAGGAGAAATGGTGCTGTCAGCCTCCCTCCGAGGATGCGCGCGTCTCTGCGGAGGCGCCCCGGCGTCGGGCAGCCCGCGACAACCGCTTACTTCCCGTGGCCTATGAGCCCCATTCGCTGCTCTGGAAGGGCCTCGACTTGCGCGCCCTCGTCTCAGCGGAGCGCCTCGAAGGGGTGGGTTGCCGTCGCCGCTCCCTCGACGTCTTGGATGACATATTGGCAGCGTTATTTCAGCGCGCCAAGAGGAGCAGACTGATCGGAGGGTCCGCCCACCTCCCCTCTTTCGGCTTCTTCTTCGCGCTGCTTGCCTGGCTGCTTCCCAGTGCCCCGGGGGCGGCGCCGAGCTTGCCCCGACCAAGCTCGCGCCTCCAGCGTGGCCGCGACGAGCGGCAGGTGAGACAGGATTCGCCATGCTGTTTTTGAGCCCAACGCTTTCAGGAATCTCATTGGCCTCCTGACGGGCCGCGCAATGGTTGCAGGTTTTCGTCGTCAATTCGGCCAACTGATATCCCCGTTGCCATTGTGGACGCCGTCGCCGAGGGCCTCCCAGAGGTGTTTAAGTCTGCCCTCTAGCTATGTTGGTTGGGTGCGCAGCCGCGACAATGGCGGGCGTCGACCCGTGGCCCAGAGTGGGCGCCGAGCAGCGCCGCTGCCTGCTCCCAGCTGCCCTGGGTGAGCAGCGGTGCCGCGGAGATTCCCGGCGCGGCCTGGGCCGCGTGCTCGCCCCGGGGCTCGGGCGCGGGGCGCGCGCGCCGTGCCCGCGCGCTCCTGTCGCCCTTTGCCTTCAATGGCGTTTCTGTCGACGATGCGCGCTTCAAGTGCCGTGCGATCGCGATCTTCGGCCCCTTCGTCGTCGTCTAGAGGGTGGCCCTGAGGGGGGCGCTTCACCGATGGCTCCGCGCACTCCTTCCTCTGCGAAGATGCCGCGGCCAGAGCCTGTCGCCAGAGGACAGGGCGATCGCCGGAGGCAAGGAGCCATGGATGATTGCCGCGCGAACTTCGCTCCTCCGCTGGCCTGTCCGCGGGCGCCATTAGTTTTCGACTCGTCGGGCGAATCCCATTTCCAGGCGTCTTTCGGCTCGCGCGACAGGACCCAGACGCCCTGCCGATTCATTGGCTGGCGCGTCGCCGCTGGCGGCAGCATGGGTGAAAAACGGAGTTTGCGGGGCGTTTTTTTGTTTTTGTGTGAAATCTGGGGTTTTCAGCTTCTTGGGATTCCATCGGGGGCGGTTGGCGGATCGCTCTGCTCCTGGGCTTCTCCTGGCTTTCCTGGCAGAGCTTCTGAGGCTTCTTGGGGGCCATTTTGAGGCCTCTAGGAACTTCTCTTGGGCCTCTCGGGGGCCTCGTGGGGGCCTCTTGGGGGCCGATTGGCGCCTCCTCAGGTTTTTTCGGGGGCCGAGTGCTCGAAATGTTCATTCGGGCCCCCCCTCTGGGCCTCCACTTCGGGCCGTCCTGGGGCCTCCTGGGTCGTTTTGGAAGCCTCTGGGGCCGTCTTGGGGCCCCCCTGGGCCGTCTTGGATGGGGCCTTCTTGAGGGCCTCTTGGGCTATCTTGGGTCGATCTTAAAGGCTTCTTGGGCCGTTGTGGGCCTCGTGAAAGCCCATGAGGCGAATGTGCTAAACATGCGCGTTTTCCTTCGGGAATGTGACGAATTTTACTTATGGAGGGCCTCTGGGGACGCCACTTTGTGCCTTCTTGGGGCGCCTTGGGGGCCTCTGGGACCGTCTGGGGGCGATCTTGGGCGTCTTGGTGCGATCTTTCGGCGACTCGAAGCCCTCTTGGACCGTCGGGGGCCTTGTAGGGACTTCGTGGCCCGTTTTGGGCCCCCCTGAGGCTCCGAGGAGGGCGCGGTGGACACTTCTGCCCCCCCCCTTCAAACCCGCCGGATCGGGCTCCGGGGGGTTGGGTCTGGGGAGGACGGGGCATATCACGCGCCGTGGCCCCAAGGGGTCGGCGGATTTCCGACGGATCGGTTTCTATGTGTCGGGATGCCGTTCAATCAGCGGATGATTTTGCAGACTTTCTCCCACCGCGTGGGCGCGGCGCTGTTCTGGCCGAGGCGCCGAGGAGCGGGGCAAAGGATGGCTGGGCCCGTCCCGGTCCCGCTGCGAGCTGGGCTCAGAGCGCGGCTGGGGGCTCCGTTTTTTTGCACCGCGCTTGCCGTCGATGGCGGGAAGCGCGGCTTCCGGAAGGCTTGCGCGCAGCCGTCGCAGACGATCTTCGCGATCTCTGAGGACTGGTTGGGCAAGGTGCTGCATCTGTCTGCTGCGGAGGTGCTTCGCCACTGGGCGGTTGGCGAGCTCGTGTCATCCAGAGTGGCTCGTGCAGGCGCTCGGGTTGGGGACTTGCCTTGCGCTTTCAAGGGGCGCCCGGCGCGCCCCAACGACCGGCCAGCGTGTGTCGTCGCGTTTTGGGGCGCGCTCCAGGCGGAGTCGCGTTTCGCCTCGAGCCTCGCCTGCGTGTTCGGCATTGGCAGGGTTGTCGTCTCCTTCAACCGCCCCCCTGTCCTCCTGAATGTGGAGGCTGGGGGCGTATTCGATGACATCTCCACCGTGGATCCCATCCCGGGAGGATCTGTGCTCGCTTTCGTGGCGCACGTCTTGCAGACGGCGGGCGCGCCGAGCTCTCCGGAGAAGGCCATGCCGTTCGGTCAACATACAACATGGCTCGCTGTCAATTGTCAACCTGCAACCTGGCTGTGGCGTCGACGGGTATTTCTTCATCCAGCTGAAGACGTCCGCCACTACGCAAACCCAGGCTTCTTGTCGGCGCGCGCTGGCGGAAGGGAATTTGACCGCGTCGCCTGCCGCCGAGGTCCGGGGGCAGGCTAACTTCAAGTCGGGCCTGTCCCTCTACAGGGGGAATCTTCAAAAATAGTTAAATCATAGTCTGGGGATGTTTTTTTTGACCATTGTTGAGCACTTTTTTTGAGCCGCAGAAGCCTGGAGCTCCTCGCCGAGCTCGTGGCGGCGTGCCGCCGGGGGCCATCCACGTGGTCTGCCCGCCAGCCCTCCATGCCGTTTTCTCGACTCCGGTGCGCTTTTAGAGCCCTCTGCCGATGCGCGGCCCCGAGGGGTTTGGACTCTCCCGTGCCCTGTGGCCCCGAGGCAGGGGCGTTGAATTGAGGTCGGCTGCAGCACTGGTCGCTGCGCGGGAGGACAGGGCGACTCACGTCGCCCCAACAGAGGCCTGGACAGTATTACGCTGAGGAGCTTCCTGGCCAGGACGTCGTCTCTTTCGTCGACAACGAGGCGGCCGCAGCAGCTATTATCCATGGAGGCATTGTCCGTCACCAGGTTCGCCTTTGGGTGGAGTGGGCGAATAGCGGCAGTGACGCAGCCGACCGTCTTTCCTGGGGCGGCTGCGCTGACCCGTGGGCTGCGCGGCAAGGCTTGGGGCTGGCGCCAGGGCGGTTCCTCTTCCCCTGACAGCAGCAATTTTGCGAGACTTGATATGGGAGTCAGTGGGGATTGTTTGGAGAAAAGGAAGGTCAGAGTGACATCAGGGGGGCGTGCCCAAGGCCTCCCGCTATGACTCCACGGGGGTTTCCAGTGGGGCCCTGCGCATTGTCCATTGTAGGCTGGGCACTTCCCTTGTCAATGTGTTGGCGGGGTGGTTTGAGCGACACCCCGCCCCCCGAAAGCTAATGTATATCTTACTTTGGTGGGGTGGCGGATCGGCTGCCTTCGCGAGCCAGCCGTTCCGTGTGTTTTCGTTGTATGTGTGTGTAGTTGAACTTTGGCCATTGACACTGCGGATTGGCAGCGCATCGTGTGTGGCTTCCGCCCGTCCTCGCGCGCTTGCCGGCGCAGGGCAGACTTTCTCCCTGCAGCGCAGCGGCATCCTGTCTGTCATCGGCGGCAAGTTCACGGTTCGCCTGGCTGCCGCGCGGAGTGGAGTACGACGGCTGGTACTGACATTCTTTTGGTGACACAACGTTGCACTCCAATTCCGTGGTTCCTCCTCTTCCTCTCGGACGTCGACCTGGTCAAGTGGCGCGTCCTCTCTCGCAGTTTGTGAGGCTGGTGTTCTCGAAGCGCCGCTGACGGCTACACCGCCGGCTCTTTTCCTCCCGGGACTTCACCGCCGGGCTCCTGTCCAAGGTGTGCCTTTTCCTGCGCGTCCACTTCGGCGCCGCCTGATCCCCGGGCTTCGCCCGCTCCTGGCCGCGTGGGGCCCCGCCTTCCTTCGCCCTTTCTGTTAATTAAAGCTGTGCGCGTCCCGCTTAGCTTCCAGCGGAAGAGGTTCGCTCTCGCCCTGCAGATCAAAAATGTCTGCAGCTGAGTTTTGTGATGATGATGCTGATGATGATGCAGATGAGGATGATGGTCCTGATCGTGGACGATGATGATGATGTTGACGATGATGAGCGTGATGTTGATGAAGATGGTGTAGGTGGTTGTGACGATGAGCATAATGACAATGATGCTGGGAACACTGATGATCGTGGTGGATAGGATGCGGCTGATAATGCTGGCGATGACGGTGATGGTGTCCAGGTTCAAAATGGTGATGCTGATGATGGCTGTGCTGATGATCGCCGTGCTCAGTATCAGGATCTTCCTGACGATGGCGAAGAAGAAGAGAATCATTGGACGACTATGAGGATTATGATGACGACTTTGTTGTTGATGATCATGATGATGCTGATGGTGATGTTGATGATGCTACTTACGGTGCTGATCATTTGGATATGGATATGGATGATGATGATGATGATGATGATGATGATGATGATGATGATGATGATGATGATGATGATGATGATGATGCTGATGATGATGATGATGATGATGATGATGATGATGATGATGATGATGATGCTGATGATTATGCGGCCGATTAGGGACGGTGACGATGATTGTGCTGCTGATGATGACCACGATCAGTATCGTGATTGTGGTGATTGCGAATACGTAAAGAATTGGACGATTGTGAGGATTTCGATGATGATTTTGTTGATGCGAGCGCCGCGCCAGGTGCCGCAAGTGCGACCAGCTGCTCCGGAGCCCAGCCCGCGAGGTGGGCCGCCGGGTGCCCTCTTCGCCTGTCGGGATCCCGCAAAGGGGGTGTGTGCCCCAGGGTGTGCGCGAGTTCGATCGTTTTGACACCGAACCGCCTAAAAACAGATGCCCCCAGCCGCCGGCAGCTCCCGATAGTTGCCGATAGGTGGGGCATGCGGGGGTCATCTGTTTGCGGCAATGCGGTGCACCAGCGGATCGAACTCATGCCCCCCCTCAGGGTCACCCCCTCTTTGGTGGATCCCGAGCCTGCTGTGCCCCGCCCTGTGCTCCGCGCGCGCGCGCTGTGCGTGTGCCCTCGTGTGCCATCCGTGCCGCTCGTCGCTTCTTTGTCGGTTTCTCCCCCTCGGCCTGCCGCTGCTCCTGCGCTCTCAGCCCCCGTGTTCGGCTGGCCGTCCCGCCTGCGGCTGCCCATGGTCCGCACGCGACAGCTTCCGCAGCGCCTCCGCCCTCCGCTTCGCGCATTCCACACCACCGGCCCATCCAGAAACGGACCGTTGATCAGGGGAGTGTAAGAGCATACGTCTAGAAGTCGACCATGAGGGCATTTGTGGATCTTTGCTCTGGGAGACTCTTGGAGGCGTCTTGGGGCTATCTGAGGGTCACTCTGGTTTGGGACCTTCGGGGCCGTCTTGGGGCTCTCTTGAAGCTCTTTCGGGTGCCTTCAGTGCCCTCATGCCCGATCCAGGACATCAGCGATCAACGAAAAGGGGGTCCTCAATGACAACACCTCCGTCGACGCCTGAAACATAGTCTCTTCGAGTCCTCTTTTGATACTCTTGGGGCGTTCTTGGGCGCTCTTGGGGTCGTCTTGGAGGTTTTGCGGGTCCCTCTTGGGGCACTCTTGTGCGATTTAGGGTCCCTCTTGGCTTCCTCTGGGAGCGATCTTGGCTCCAGGTCTTGGCCCCATGCTGTCGCCACTGCTGCCCAGGCACACGCTCAGGCAGTCAGCATAACGGTGGCCGCGGCCACGCCTCGGATGCGACTTTCAAGGCGTTCATCAAGCACGAGGTGAGCAAGATGAGCATCCGCGAGCTGAAGTTCGCCCTCGCTGCTGGCAGACTGTCATTGGCAGGCGCCACCGAGACGGCTGGCCTCGTGCGGCTCCGCGCGAAGTCCTGGTGGAGCGGCAGGTCGCCGTGCGCGCCAACGGCTTCGAGGCCGCCGCGCAGTGGCAGGCTGTGCCAGAGGTGGCGCTGCCCCCTTGCCTTGGGGGCCGCTTCGAAACATGGGCTGGAACAAGCAGGGCGCGCCTGACGCCCACGAGGACTTCGCAGGCGGCGGCCGGCCAGGCGATTCCGGCAAGGCGGGTGGGGCTGGCTGTGGTAAGGCCAGCGCCGGGCGTCGCCCGTTGGCACCGGGTGTCGCTTGCGTTGGGGTGGTTGGCCCTTCTCGGCCCGTCGGTCTCAGCCATCTCGCTCCTGGGCTGGGGGCCCTGGACCAGGTGCTGTGCGGAGAGGCACACGAATTGCCTCGAAGTGCGCGCAGTCACCTCTGGGACCCCCTGCAGGAAGACCTACGACCTTAGCGCGACCGAGCTGGAGCTCCAGAGGCAGGTCGGGATGGGCTCGGCCCGCTGGGAGATTCTGGAGCCTCGGGGTCTGGCCGCCCTGCGGCCCGGGCTGATGCTGATCGGTACCGTCGTGACGGTCTAGTCCCCTTGGACCGAGCGGAAGGTGCCGAAGTACTCGATTTTTTCCCGTCGGCGGCGAGGCAGGGGCGGTCCGCTCCAGGCAGGGGCGGCGGTCCGGGACAGCCGAGAGGCTCATCGGCCAGCGTGCAAGAGGGGGGCAGAAAGACGAGAGCGGCCGCGCGGGGGGAGAGGGAGGGGAACGCGCTCAGACGTGGAAGAGTTCCGCGTCGAGCGGGCCGGAGCGGCCGACCGAGGCAGCGGTGACCATGACAGCAGCCGGGGCCGAGGCGAGGGCGCAGCCACGGGTGCAAGTGCTTGAGCACGGTGAGGACAGGTTTTCTGCCCAGCCTGTCTCCCTCCAATTCCCGCCCTCCCTGCCCAGTTCCCCCTGCCCGCTTGCGCGAAACTCCGAGCTCGGCGTCTGGCAGCGCCCGGAGCTTCGTAGTTCGATCCATGACTAGCGCGTTAAAAAGTATTGAGAATTTGGGTCAGAAATGTGCGCGAGCATCCAGCCGCCGCTCCTATCTCTCGCCTGTGCCTGCCTGTTTCCCCTTGGCCTCGTCTCCACCCTGTCCAGCCGCAGCGTGAAGCGAGCAGCACACGTAACTGCACTGGGCCGTCCCTCCTTCCACCTCGGTTGATTTTTCCCTGCTAGTCCTCATCCACCGCAGCGCGCCGCTCGAGGCACCAAGTGTGTTTCTGAATTCGGTAGTGTCGGGGATGTTCGATGTGATGCAACGTCGACCCCGGCCCTCACACATGCAGTGCTTCTTCTCGCCTCCATTACGCTTCCCCTATGAATGCTGAGTGCAGACTCTCTCTTTCCTCGCTGTCCATCGCCAGGTCGCTCTGCCTGCTTGAACACCTGCCCATCTACACGACAACCTAGAATACCCTAAGGACCTTCCAAGCCTGACGACCGACTTCCCCGCGCAGCCCGCGCGCAGGACCGACCAACGACCGCCGCCCCGACCGCCGTCGCGCTTGGGGGCCGAGCTGGACCTCCCACCCTTCGAGTTTCCCTATCAAATCTGCGACAAACACGTAGAACTGTCCTGGAACACTTGTAGATTCGGCGAGACATTCAGCTCTGGGGTAAAACGATTCTGCAGTCGACCTCCTTCTCGAGCCCTGCAGACGCCTGGGTGCCACGCCCACGCACGCGCTCAACACCTCCTGGATGGCATCGGGTCGGCGTCACCCCAGCATACTTATACTAAATGTGCGTCGCCCCCCCTGGGGCGACGCGAGCACCGAGAAATCTCATAGTACATGCTTCTTGGCGGGCGCTTTCTGGCCACGCCGCTCGGGAACCGACATACTACAAGATGGGTATGCTATATGTTCGGGTCGGACGCGCGCCTCCAAGGAGGACATATACAGTCGGCCCGGATTAGGAGGTCGACCCTGCCGAATCAGGGGTACCCTTGTGTCCCGTGTCTCGCGACGCGTGCCTCGGGCACTCCTGTGGCAAGGAGGCCCTCGGACATCCCCTGTGGCACTATGGCGCCTCCAAAGAGAACATACAGTACTGGCATGTCTCTGTGCGTACAGTCGGGGCCCTGAAGAAAGAACCCTTCTCGTTGGGGAGGGGCTCCGTGTTCCTTGATGGTTTCGCAGCTTGCCTTAGGTTTCCCTGAGGTTTTCGATAGGACATCGAAGGTTAACTGATGGAGAAAAGGGGCCTCGTTCCTTATTTTGGGTTCCTTAGGTCAACGCCCCGACTGTACAGTACTGGGATGTCTCTGTGCGTCCCCTCGGGGACCCCGGGGCGGGCTTCCCGCGAGGGGGCCGCCCAGCGCCGCGGCCGCGCCTCCCCCGCAGCGGCTCGGTGTGCGGGGCGGAGCCGGCCGCCCGCGCCCGCGCCCGTCTCGGGCGGCTTCGCGGACTCGGGGAGGGTCTTCAAATTTGACAGGGGGCGGACTCTGTGGAGGTCGACCGATGGAGAGGAAGCATGCTGCCAAATAATTTCCAGATGTCCAAAACATGTTTCAAGCATTTTTTATCAATGTATAAACATGTTTGAAACGTTTTTAGAACATGTTTTACACATTCCAAACACATTTAAACGTTTGGCGCTCCGCGCGGACTTGTTGGATCCGCGCGGGGCCCCGGGCCCCCCCTCCCCCTGGCGGCGCTTTCGGCGCCGTCCATGGCGCCCTTCGGTCCAGTGCAGATCTAAAAAGTCCGGGCGGAGCAGCGCAGGTTTCTGTTTATGTTTTTTCTATGTCAAGCTCACATGGGGCTAGTCGATCCCTCTCCCACCGTGTCTCCCAGACCCTCGGGTTCTTCCGCAGGACCGAGCCGGCTCTTGCATTTTGGTGCCGCCTTCCGTTGCGCCCCCATCCTTCTCTATATTTTTTTCTTTTCTTTTCCTCCCTTGCCTCCCTCTCGCTTGCACCCGAGCCAGCACCGACATGACGTTCTTAGTGCTTCCTGCAGGGATGTTGTGGCACTCTTGGAGTCCACCTGCCCCCCGCCGGCGTCGCAGGCCTTTGTGTTGAGCGGTCAGGAGTTCGGCCTGGGCCGTCGCTGGGCTCACCTCGGACTCGTGCGAGGACGACGGTCTACGATCAGGCGGTCGAGTCGAACTTCTCGGTCGACGCGTTGCAGATGGCATTCCTGTGCTACCACGACGACGAGGATATAAGCCCGCCCCGCCTGCGACCGCCACCAGCGTGAAACGGCTGCTCACCGACAGGCTGCGTCGGAGGAGCGGGGTAATCTCCTGGCACGTGAGCTTCTTCGCGACTCGTCGCTGGTTGCCCGACATCCGCCAAAGGGCGCGAATGGTTCGTAAAATTCGTGGACGGGCCTTTGGATATTAGAAGATTACATCATGCCCGCCAGGCAGCCATTGGCATTCCCCCACGCCTCAGCGTGCCAACGGCGTCCTTCGAACGCACGACCAACGATGGCCAGCGCTGGCACGCGACAGCGCGACATGGAGCAGACTAGACACAGCGCTTCTGCGGCACACAGCTCACAGCACCGCTGCACGCGAGGGTTCCGGCACGCCCGCGCCGGCCCTCCCGGCGGCCATGCGCGCGCTCTGCTCTGCTCCGTCTGAAGTCTGATCCCCACCCTGGGCGTTCCGACCCCGCCGTGGAACTCCCTGCGCCGAAGCCTTTCCCGCGGGACTGAGGGTGCGCGAAGGGAGTGCTGGTGGCGGGAGCGCTTGCCCAGCAGGCACCGCGCCAGGCTCGTGTGGAGGTGCAGCCCTGGCGGGTCGCGCTGGGCTGTTGGAAGTCCATTGCCTGTCGGAAGTCCATGCTGCGTGTGCCGTCTGTCGGAGCGGCCGACCGATCTTCATCTTCAGCCCAGGCGACGCCGCGACTCCCGCCCTCAGCCTGCCCTGCGCATCCCTC